AATAAATAAAATTATATAAAATGATAATAATGTCTGAAAGAAATAGTAATTAAATATAAATGTATTAGTGTATGTATTTATGTTTGCGTATTATATTGGACTGCACAGTCTAATTTCAAACCGCACACACTAATGTTCACATACTTACTTAAGAATGTATATTTGTTGCTTCTGATGATATTGCTGCTGCTGCTTGTTCCAATTCATTCTGATTTCTAATAAAAACAAATGAAGTAATTATTTGCAAATTAATTTAAAAAATCACATACAATACATTCACTTACCTTCTTGTTGTACGAGCACGAATAACATGCGTTTTTAATCGTTTTTTATTACCCTTTTTGGGGTTTTCTTTTGGCACTATTGACAACTATGTTTTCTCATTCCCCCTCATTCAAACAAATTAAGAAATGAGATAACTTTTTTCATCACATCTAGGTAAACAAAATAATAACCAGAATATGTGGGTTGGTGTTAGTGCATAGAAAAAACATGTGTAGTTGTACTTAAATACAGTGCACAATTCAATACATATATGCGTGTGTGTGTGTATAATGTTATCTCGTCTGCAATAGCAGCTGATACGACCTATCTTATGGGAGCGCAATGTAAATGATTAGCCAACACCGCTTCTACCTTCCGCTTTACCGTAGATTTCCACGGCATTTGGATTTTTGCCGTAGAAACGTAGCTGATTGCTCTCTCACAATGCAGGGTTGCCAGTCTCTATATACTGAAGTAATTATAAAAATTAAAATCTTCAATATGTTTGAAACTTTCTTAAACTAAATCAAAACCAGAGTCGAATGCTACTATTTATAATTATATAAACTATTTTTATTAGTATTGTTTTTAATTGTTTGTTTTCAGTTTTGATATTTTATATTAAATTTAATTATAAACTTCGATCGTACACATCGTTTTAAATGAAACCAAACAGAAATGGCTGATTTCTACGGGCTCAACTTTTGACACATTTTGCTCTCTAAGGACGGCAAATGAGGAAGGGAGTAGCGTTTGTCGCTGTTTCTGCTATAAATTTATGACTTGTGTCCCCATGCACTTTTACTATTGGATGCGCATTGCATGTAAATGCATGTGCCTGTTTATGTACATATGTATGTATGAAAATAGATTTTTATTTTTAATAGTATTTCGGCTTCGCTGATAAGTAAGCATGTTCAATGATATTTCTTCAACATTTGTAATATTTTTAATGATAAAGGATAGAAGATAAACATTGCGGTTGTTAGCCGGCCAATTTTTGCAAAACCCTATTTTATTACAAACATTTATCAACAAGTATATTTTTAAAACTGCATCATAACTTAAAACTTCTTGTTTTAAGCTTAGTATCCAGCTCTTGAGAAATGTAACAACTTCATATAAAAAAACGCTTAAGAAGTGGTCAAGAAGTGATTTCCTGCTGTAAATTTTCTTGTGCTAGTATGCAGCTCTAAAGAAATCTAGCACTCATTTTTAATAAATTTTTTCAATAAAATGCGAATATGGCAAACCTTGTTTTGCGAAGAAACATGAAATCAACAATTGTTTCTTGAAGGAAATTCAAAGTAATCGATATATTAGGCGTGTTTTATTTGACCAGCAAATTAAGTTATTAGCTTATTTTGTATGGAGGACTTTGTATTTTGAACTAGAGGCATTGCCAGTTCATCGCTTTTTTTCATTCACAATAGCAAGGTTTTTCCAAAAGAGAGTAGTTGGCAAAGCGAAAAACCTCATTTTGACAGACGAAAATGTAAACAAACCAAAATTACAGATTTTTTGGATGAGTATTAAGTTAAAATTAAGACATACTATATGAACACTTGCATTCAATGTTTTGTATTCTAGACTTCAAATAACTAAAATAAATACATTTGTTTAGCATATTAATATTCCGTCTACAAATTTGAAATTTCGAACTAAATTGTATATCAGGTGATTGTTCTTGACCGCATTACCATCCCAATTCATTTTTAAGCGAATATATGGAATAAGCTAAATGCGTTTTATTTGTCAATGATTTAGCTATTAGCTTGTGATGGTCAAATAAAACACGGCTATTCATCCTAAATTAGTTCAACTCATTATTATGAAGTATATTTCATTTTGAAATGCTTTATAAAACTTACCAGTCATCAACAACATTCCTTAAATCGCAATGATAATATTTATGTTACTTCACACATACATACATACATATTACGCAGAAAGCTTATTTCCTTTATTTATTCTATCTTGCTCTTCTAATGTGGATCATTCACAATGCGTAATCAGCGGTCAAAATTACTTGAAGAAATTATGTATTTTTTTCCTGAGCAATTACTTTAGAGCTGGATACGGACCTTAATCTTCAAAGTTTTAGAGAGTTAGTTGAATTCCGTTGGCAATATGTCAACAGTGACGTGAGAGACAAGTCGCGAGTGCGACGACTGTTTGTTTGATGACAGCAGATATCCTTCCCAACTTTGAAATCGACGAAGAGGTGGTGTGTGTCGATTCTCCTCTCATGGGTCTTTTCCAATTTTTTTCGCATTGTGACTATCTGGTCAGTTGTGGATTTGCCAGGTCTAAGGCCACACTGATATGGTACAATCAGTTTGCTGACAGTGGGCTTAAATCTTTCACACAATACGCGCGAAAGAACCTCATTCGCGATGTTGAAGAGGCTTGTCCCACGGTTGTTGGCGCAGATTGTGAGGTCTCCCTCTTTGTGGATGGGGCAGAGCACACTTAAATTCCAATCGTTAGGCATGCTTTCATCCGACCATATTCTCCAAAGAAGCTGATGCATGCTCCTTATCAGTTCTTCTCCGCCGTGTTTGAATAGCTCGGCCAGCAATCCATCGGCCCCACCGCTTTGTTGTTCTTCAGATGGGTAATTGTTATTCGAACTTCTTCATGGTCGGGCAGTGGAACGTCTGCTCCATCGTTATGGATTGGGTAATCGGGTTCGCCTTCTCCTGCCATATTTCAAATGTGGGGGCTGAATATACCGACCGTAGTGCCAAAGATACTTTCTTTGAACACCCTGGAATTAAAGTCGCCAAGGACGATTTTCTTTCATACGTGCACCCAAAGCGCTCATAGAAGGCATCTTTGGTCACATTGTCCTTCTCTGCCGTCGGTTCGTGGTCGCAAATCAGCGATATGTTGAAGAATCTCTTTTTGATGCCGATTGTGGCTAGACGTTCGTTCACCGGAGTACATGATAGTACTCGGCGATGGAGTCTCTTTCCCACCACGAATCCCACACCAAACTTGCGCCCCTTTATATGGCCACTGTAATAAATGCCACGAGGATCTAATCGTCTCAGTCCTTGTCCCGTCCATCGCATTTCTTGGACGGTGATGTCAGCCTTTATTTTCACGAGAACATCAACCAGCTGGGCAGCGGCACCTTCCCAATTAAGAGACCGAATACTCCAGGTGTATGCAATCAATTCTTAGTCCTTATTTGGTTTGTCATGGTCGTCATCAAAAGGCGGGTCTCACATTTGAAGCTGGTTGTTAGTTTTCATTGGGTGGTTTTTTTTACGCGGCGATTCCCAAAGCCAGCGCGCAACCCTATGTAGGGGATGTTTCGCCTTCTCATTTTAGCTCGACCTCAAACGGATGTTCTTAGGCTATCCTGAGGATACTTGGTCAAAGACCGGAAGTCGTGAGCTGCTTGAGCCATATGTAAAATAATCGTTTCTGGCCCCTCCCAAATTAATGGCAATCAGAGAACTTTCCTCACTTGCGTGAACTTCTAAATATGTCTAAATATAAATTAAAACATTTACATTAAAAGTTTTGATATCTTCTTAACAGATCAAGCAATCGCAAATGTGCACATATACAATTTTTTGAGCATTTGAACAAATATAACAGACTATAGGCATTTTTGTAAATTTGTCTACATGCAATATATGTTTTAGTGGAAGGAAGCATTGAAAGCTGGAGTGCGGGACTTTAATCCGGTAAACCTAATCTACTCCCAAATCATGTCTCTGTCACGGGACCACTGGACAAAGTATTACTGCAAGGGGGAGAATAAGACGTTTAAGTCTTATCTATTGCATGGACTGACTGCCTAATCTGTTCTAAATGTCTCCATTTTGTCATAATTAGATTTGCCGCTTCACTGACAAGTTTCCACTTTAAAGATATAAGACATAAGTGCTGTCAAATTTGCCATCGTGATACTACTTCCAGGACGTCTCTGATAAGTTACATATTCACGCGAATTCCTCTCCCTGGGTGTCAATCGGTGCCTTACCGGCCAATCCTCAGCAGCGTCATTCAAAATTGTTCGTAAAGCACTTATCACACATATTGCTGAAAGCCTATGGACTGTTTCTAGCGCCTGTATGCTTTTTGGAGCCGCGCACAGGATCACTCAACTTATTGCCTTAGCCTAGACATCGTCGGCTGGAACGCACACAGCTTTTATTTGCCATCATTCTAGATAACGGATTATATATTTCATTTTATTTACTTGTCGCTTTTGCCAAGTTGTCCTTGAACTTGAGTCTTGAGTCCACTATTACCCCAAGATACTTCAATTGCGGCTGTGAAGTAATTAATCTCACATTCTCCTATGGGTAGCGATATTTTCTCCTCAATTTTCCTTGAGCTTATGAGCAGGACTTCTGTTTTCTGCTCAGCCAGCTCTAGACTCATGGCAGCAAACCATCGGCGCAGACCATTTATGCTATCATTGCATTTGATCCGGAGGTCATACCTATGTTTAGCTTCAGCTACCACTATGAGGTCATCTGCATAAGCGATTGTTTTCAAATTTTTTGGTTGCAGGGTTTCCGTTTGATGCCGGAGGCGGCAGATAGACCCCCCGAAAGTAAAAACTTTGCCACACTTGAGTAAAGTTTTGGCATCCTCAGCTCGTAGGCATATAAGCGCTATTTGAGTGCCACTTCGAGTTTTCCGCAAATTTTTTATATTTGCTTTTGGATCCCACGCTAATTTTGTAATGCCTCACAGATTTTTTCAGGCGGGGCTATCTCATCCAAGTCTTTGCACATAATGGTAATATTATGAGTTTTTGCTTGTATTACGGCCATCGCACCAATAACTCCTTCTAAGGCGCTTTCGAACGTGTCGGCTCTCTTTTTTGCTTGATTTTTTAGTTCAATTAATAGGTCTCCTTTGAGAGTTTTTCTAATGTACCTTACGTTTGAAGCCAGTTCTTCAAGGCCTCTGTCGCATTTTATTTTTTCCCAAACTGTCTTTGCGCATGCATGCTTGCACTTTATGACTAATTTTTTTTGGCTTCTTCGTTGGTGGCAAATATCTACAATATCTCGCGAGGTCTCTTTGGGGCATTTTTATTACTTTGGATATCCCCTATCCCTGCGACACCTTTCCTACCATAACTCTTGCTTTTCTGCCGTGTCATACAAGCTTTTGATACAGCTTACCAGATCACGCATACCTTGCTTAATATGTCACTGCCCAGACATCATGGTTTTGAGGTATTTAATTTTTTTACCCAGTTTGCAGAAAATATAAC